AGAGAGAGAGAGAGAGAGAGAGAGAAAGGGAAGATAGAACACCAACAGAGGCAGACGACGTCTTAACCACTTTGCGCTCTAACCGCGTAGCATCGTTGAGCTTTGCATTTTTTGGCACGTTACACGCCGCGTGCACACCGCGTGCTGACCTAAGAAAAACAGGTCCTCTTGACCCTGCATCGCGTAAATGCTGAGCAGGCCGAAAAAATTGGGATCCAGCGAGCTTAGAAAAAAGGAATGAAAGAATATTTTTTCGAACGTAATCTCAACGTAAACGGCGCTATCCTGAAAGCAGTAATTGACATTTTTTTCTTTTATCTTTTACAGCTGTTTTGTAGAGAAAAATTTCCTAATATTTTTTCTTTACCGGTATGCAGAGTCAGAAAAAATAGAGAAATATTTCGAAACTTTGCGTCTGTTGCTTTTGAATATAATTAGATGATATTGTGATGCATTATCATATTTCCCATCAGCTTACTATCAAATTAGTAGAAACATGAAATCTCTCTGTATAATGAGGACAGGATATCTCTAATATAGTCGAAGTAAATACTTTCAATAGGTAATCGGGATTCCATTGTATCCTCTTCGAAAATATCTAATTTAATCTAGTTTAATTAGTGATTAATTAACATAGTGGGCACACATTTCGTTTCAAGATTTTAGAAGAAAACCATGACAACAAAAAAGCTTGTAAAAGAAGAAGTAGCGAAGCACAACGAAACGCAAAAAATTTTTCAAACGCTTGTCTAACAAATCGACTCTCAATACAGTGATGGCAACCGCGACGCGTCTGACTCTTCGTGCGGCTGTACTACTTGCAGTATTCGCGGATTGAGACTCCTCAGTATTTACACTGTACTATTTATATATTCATACTATATTTATATTTCTACTGTTGTATTATATATTTATACTATATTTACACTACATTATATTTATATTTATACTATATTTATATTACATATTTCTACTGCGTATTATGTATCGATATTCAGATATTCTCCCTATATTTGTGACATTTATAGTATTTGTTTTACGATTGAAAAGCTCAGTGAAAATACTGTCCTTCCCTTTCGTATTTTAAAGATGTGATATCACGTTTCCGGTGTTGAAGCCGCGGTCAGAAATAGAAAGGAAACGTGACGGTATTTTAGGGATCACGATCGGATGGAATTGACGGAGTAACACGGGAGGAGGAGCAGAGGCAAAGAAAACATGTGCCTTCGCGAGTCGAAGCTGCGGGTAGGACTTTTCAATTTCGGAAGAACTCGTTCCGAAGGAATAACGTTGCTTCTTTTGACGTTGCTGGGCAAAGTGTTGGGGTTAGGCGGGAATCCTGTTGCGCGCCGCTATATATCGGATCATCCGGATAATAGATTTGCCGAGGGTAAACTTCGCGGAATTTTTGTCTCTCGTTCTCGCCGATGCGGCGGTGCGGCTGGGAAATTTAAAGAAAGCAACCAGGTTGTGGCGCTTCCTGTCGGTTCGCCGGAATATATAAATTCTTCCAGTGAAAATTATAAGTACTTGGGTTGAAGTTTCTACATTGCTAAGTTAACGTTTCTACGTCTAACGTTTTGTAAATCGGGGCATTCAGCTTGTTAAAACCTGGAGTTTATTAAGAAGATTGGAAGTTAAGGGCATCTTTACATTCGCGAGTGAATTTCTCTCGCAAAGCGTGATTAAATAAACAGAGCAGAGACTAATGTGACCAAGCGATACGATATTAAAATGTCGAGCGCTGTAAATAGAATTGGATCGATGTTGGTCGGACACGCGGTTAACGAATGTGCCGGTAATATATTCGTAAGCTGAGGAAAATCCACTTCTAAATTATGAAACGTCGCAAAGCTCGCGAAATAATTTCTCGCGTTTCCCTCGAATGCGGGCGCAAATACGAAAGAAAAATGACAGGGAAATGTGTAGAGCAAACTTTTCCTCTGTTTAAACGCGATCGGGCGTTTACTTTCGGTATTTTAACCTTCGTCAGTTTTCGAGAGCTTTTAACTCGGTTCCGAGTGATAAACGGAAGGTAGCTGTTGATCGATGGATCGGCGATCGGTCTTCTAGATTGTGAAATAGAACAGAGGATATTCATCCGCGGTATATCGTAAATTTCGTTCGACGTCCGTGCGCCATTTTTTTTGAATGCTCGCGTGCTCCCTCGTTCGCAGATCAAAAGGACGCAGGAAAAGCATCAAACCCGATAACGATGCCCGCAATTCGAACAATACAGTGGCAACTGTAAATCGATCGCGCCCAAGGAATAGCCGCGCGGATACATGATCCCCGAAACAATTGAAAAACATGCATTAAACATGCCAGCGCGACGATTTATGAATGTCAATGCGACAAACGTTCCGTTCCTCGACCGTGTCTCGTTCCTTGTTAGCATTATCTATCTCTCGCCTGAAAGTGAAATAGCGATAGACTATCAGCGTTCGTATCTGCCTTGCAGGCGGATCTTCGTAATACTCGCTTCATCTTTCAACGCTCGCGATCGACGAAATTCTACCAGATCGCAAACAACTTCGTGGATGAAAAATTGGAGAAAAATGGATTGAAATGTCGGCTGACGGGATTGCTTATTTAGAGTTTCACGTTCTCTGATGTCGGAGGCAGTTCTCGTTTGTGCATAGTAACGCGATTGGAGGCTCCGTTAAAGAGGTTGGGTCGCCGTTCACTGCGAAAGCCGGAATAGTTATCGAACAAGTTGTAACGTTTCCCGACAATGGGTGGAAAATTCAGGAAGTTATTATCGTCGGCAGCCGGGAGTCTTCCCGAGTACTTTGTCTAATTCCTCTACCATCCGTTACGATATTAACCGATGACATTTCGCGATAAACTCTCGCCCTGATCCCCTGTACTACCGGCACTACGATTTAAGGAATACATTTGATTAATGCTGGAACTTTTATACGGGAAAGACGAAGAAAGGATAGAAGGAATAAGGAAAAAATACAACGATTAAGAAAAGACATCAATGCGTTGGTGAAATGAGTTGCTGTTGGAAACAACGAAGCACGCGAGGAAACGCCGACTACAGGTAGAAAACTGTAAGGAATAATTGAAAGGCATTGTGGATCGTGTGAATTGCAGTTGAGATGCTTCTCTTACCGAGCAAGACTCTCCATGGTCCAATCATCCAACGAGGCTTGATGGAGCTGTCAGCTGCAGAATCGCAGGTGAATAGTCTGTAATGGATTTCACTCGGAGAACCAGCCGTGGCTGAAAGCGCGAAAAGAGTATCGGACAGATAAATATTTAAATTGGTCGAACGCCTAACCGCGCGAGCCGGCAAATGCCGGGGACACTACTTTTCCCTTACTTTTCAAACGTCCGCGGTCCAGGCGAAATTATTTAAAGACCGCGCGACGCGAAAGACGAAACCGACGTTCAAAGTCGAAATCGCGAAGCTTCTTCGAACCTTACGTTTCGTCTAATTGATTAACGTTCGAGTGAGTCAGATTACGTAAGATGCAGAAGAAGAAGAAGCTTCGCTACGAGAGGAGAATTCGAATGACTATTAATCACGATCGAGGCAGAAAGCTCGAGGTATAATGGCGCTTGGAGGATTCAACCTTGTAAATCCGCGAGGAGAGAAGAGTGGACGCGTCATTGCTAGACAAACTTCTTTGGCCAACATATTCGGTTTGACGCGGAATTATCGACAGATTAAGGTATCCCGGTACGTCGACGTTGTTGTCTTTCCGTCGGCAAAGTGCTTTGGAAGTCAGCTTATACGCCTGAGCCTCCATCGAACGAACCTCCTTTGAAGAATATACGGCTTCGCGGCGCGAACTATTAAGCGCGATTAGCGTTTTTCATCTTGCGTTTTACATTTTTCAGACACTCGGGGGAGAATCACGTTCTACCAGGCGTTAATCTTGACGAACTTGCAAATCCTCGTCAAAAATTTTATAGGTTTAACTGAGCGGCCGTTCTTTCTACCTTTCGCTTCGTCGTTCTCTTTGTACTCGTTGAGAATTGTTGCAACGAGATTAATCACGTTGATTACACGTGTTCGCGATAAACGAAATGAGCGTACGTATATTTAAAAAAACTAGACTGCGAACGCGCAGTTATCGCGTCGACAAAGTGAAACGGCGCGCATGCTAAGGAGATTACACGACCTACAAGGGTCTTATATTGCAGAAGGACCAGCTTATGCGAAAGTGGCGGCTTGATCATGACGAAGAAGTTGTTGTCGTTTCTGGGGCACGTTACACGAGCTAACTGCAAAATAATAAGCGCAACTTGAGCGTAAGCAGCGTGGAGGTGCACGACGATTTATCACCACCGAAAGATTAACGGGTTGACGCAAGGATTGCTCGCGTTACTTCTCTCGAAAACTGATTTATCGACAGTTTGACGGTGAATCATGTGTTTCTGTGCGTAGCTGAAACTCGTGTGAGTGTTTAATTAAAATTCGCACGCGCTCGAGAAGGAAGCAGTAACGTGCCTAGATGTGTAGCGTGTCGTCTGTTTCCATTTAACCCATTCGAGATGGATTTCTTTCTCCAAAACATGAGAATAATATAGTAATTCCTGTCGTAATGTATGCGACAAGGAATTAGATTTAGAATATTTTTGAAGAGAAAGAATGATATATAGCCCCATCAATTTTTCGCATCTCAACAGGCTTCAGTGATGACATTAAAAATATATATTATATATTGTGTAATATAAAGGAAAATTTATTTGCTGAGTATATTGTACAACGTTTTCTATTTTATGGTCTTCCATATGTGGAATTATTTGTATTCTCGCGTATTTAAATAAATTTTCATAGATTATGTAACACTAATGACGCAAAATATGTTCTATTAATAAAAATAATAGATCCCAGTGAAAGTATTACCGTGGCAGTCTTGTGGAAGGATTACGTTTAAAAAAAAAAATAAAAAAAAACGTAGTATTATCTGTCATATCTGCCATTACCATTAATACTTTTTTTAACCATATTCACTATATTGTCTATAGAATTTTCTTCGAACAAACTGGCACTCCAGAAGTCTGCTCCAAAAGAGAATTAATATCAGATTGAAATTTATAGTTGGCTAGCATTCTTGGCCCAAGAACTATACATTCTGAAGTTCTTGTGGAATCGGTTCGGCTTCCCATCCCCCGTTACTAATAGCAGTTAATTTTCGCAGTTGAACCGTGACTAATCCGGCCTGTGAACCTTTCGGGTGGCTGCACTTTTGAGAAAGAATCGAACATCTATTCGTTGACGATCGTTGAATATTTTCATGCAGCATGAAATTGATTCATACAGCAATTGTTCAAGTTCAAGATCTTAAACGTCAAGCCTATCACTTGGAATTGAAATCTATTAATAACGTTTCCTTTTTAGAAGCTCAGACTTCGCCGAGTTTCTGGTCGTATGTAACTATCCTTTTAAATAGAATAAAGCCCAAACACCCGACCAACGATATCAACTTATTGATTTTGCGACGGTCGCAACAGTAAGGACGAATATAGTCATTACGCTCGCGCGTGAAAGTGGCGATTCGTTTATATTATCGAAGTAGAAAATCCTCGAGAGTAATTGCACTCCAAACACGGTGAAGACGGATGAATTTAAAAATGAGAAAATTAAAAGAATTTGTCAGTGTCGGAGAGTGAGTCGGTTCTCTGCCCTCGCAGAGATACGACATGTATCGTGGATTAAGCTTGTCTTTTTCAAAGCGCGCACTTTTCGCAGCTTCCAACGAATTTAATCTGTTCCTCGTTCCCCGTTAACGAAGCGTCCTTTACGACGTATCGTGGCATGTAACAGCGCAACGCGTCGTTCACGGTTGTCTTCGACCAATTTTATGATTACACCTAGCTCATCGCGATATTCGTACGCCTCGGGCGCGTCATCTCTTTGTTGGAAGCTCTTCTTCCAAGCAACCACTCGTCGATTTATTACGTCTCCGCTTGCACGTACCTCGAAAGAAAGTAAATGCAAAGTCGCGTGCTGGTGAATGGTTGATGTGCTCGTTTTTAGTCATTCTTGTTTCTGTCATTTGCTTCTCTTCTCGAGGGTAATCGAGTTACTCGACTACCCGCGACGCGTAGTGTTTATTTTCAATGCTAAAGGAACCTTCCACACCGCCAGAGTTTTCTCACCTTATAGTTTATCTTTTATCTTTTTGAACTCTGTCTTGCGTTACTTTTGCGTTCACGCTGCGCGAGAAGCAAAGTGCAGAAGGAAGAGACAAAAACCTCGAGTGTTGCTCGAGTTCGGTCACATTTTTAATCCGATCAAACTTTTTGAATTACGGCCAGGTCGACGTAGAAAGGGATGGAAGAAGGGGAGAAAAGAGAGAGGACATACGGCGTCGACCAACGTGACGCGCGAACGAAGAGAGAGAACTCTCTTGGCAGAGAAAGGAAGGTGATATTCCCGCCGGTAATGGTTCGCTTCGAGTCGCTTCGAGTCTTAGGAGTTCCCTCGAACCGGGAACAGTCATTAAAAGAGACTTTCCAGCGGGCCAGGTGGACTGGCCGAATGGTCGAATGAAGCCGCCGCGCGGCACAAGCCGGAAACGGTGGACGTTGCAAGGGGAGGGGGAGGGAAAGAAAGAAAAAGAAGGTCACGAAGGAATTCTTTGCGCCAGTCTCTTTTCCATCTACGCCGCTTCGGCTTCTTCCTGTTCCTGTCCGGGTCCTTTCTCGCCGCTCCGGTGTGTCCGGTACTCCCTCTATTTCGGCCTTGATCCCCGGCGAACGCTGCAGCTGACGGTTTATACGCAGGCTTACCGCGACCACGGCGAAAATAATTGCGGCGACGTTAAATCGCGCCGCGAAATGTTTCCTCGGGGAAACTCCGTATCCTGGCTGTTTCGATTAACGCGTTTCCCGACTGTCTCGCGGTCACACGGCACGCGCTGCGTAATGGGAGGGAATTAAAAATGTTCGATGCTGGCGTTGTCATGCCCTCGTTCGCTGTGCGTGAATAATGTTTAAGCTCATCTGGTACCGTTGAACATATATTTGCTGAGTACGTGATATTTAATTACAAATATAAATTCTATTACAAATATATTTCTATTATCGTTGAATGTTATTAGATCATTAAGGACCGTAACAATTTGGAATTTAATAGCAAAGCGATGTCTCTTCATTTGTTTAAAAAAAGTCAATTTCAGAATTGACATTGTAAATTTGATAGAACAAACTAAGGCACTGCGTGACTAGTTGCAAAATTTTCAAAGTAGCGTCAATCTAGGAAGCTAGTTTCTCTTCACTTGGACCATTTCACATAAGCATACTTGCACGTTATAAAGAAAATAAAGGATAACTCTAAGAAGCATTCTACAACACACTGAGAAAATCTAAATTTATATTTAAATAAAATAATCAATCGCTGTTAGATTCTAAAGAGCGTGCTGTTCGTCAGTTGCCCAAGAATCACAGAATACAAAATACTCTAAATTATGTTATTTCAAATTATCACATTCATTTGAGGGTTGAAAGCTCTTATTTAAAATTCAATACTGAATTGTAATTTAGTACTTGCTCTTAACGAGAGTCGTTTTCCATGTGAAACATTGAAGAAAACGCAAACTCTATGAACTGTCCACCCGAAAGTTGAACGACCGAACTCTGCTCGATTGTCAAAATTCCGACGGGACAAACGACTGAAGGACAAGAGAGGTTCGAAACGTTAACAAAGGGTTTAACGACGCAATAATTGGCAGTACGCGTGTGGGCATAGCTGCGGCGTGATTCAACAATAGCTCGGTTACTAGCGGGTACGATGTTCTTTCTCGTTAATCCCGTAAAACGTGCCGCGGCTTAAAAGGAAGGCAATAAAATCCGTCCGCCGCACTCGTTACTCGTTACTCCCTCCTCGGTAATGAAATAACAATGACTATTATCGTCTCTTATTGCTACAGTCTCGTTCTCGTCGCCTCGGAAGGACGACTCGTCCGTAAGAAATCAATAGCTTCGTGATCGACCTGATTCGTTCTGTGCTCTCGAATCGAGAGCAATCGTTACGATTTGTGCAAGTTAAAATGCCCTGTAAGTAGTAGACTCGTGTCGAAGTGCTATAGACTACACGGCTCGTTTGTTCATTCCTTCGGACGCTAGTAGAAATAGACGAAAAAGCGCGAGGGAGCTGGTTTGCCACGAATTAGCTTAAACGACCACGGATTAATCTTGCATGGGCCCCGTCGAGGGACAGGAAAACAAGGCGACAAGGCCGCAGACCATTCGCTCGGTAGCTGTAGCTGCTTAATGCCCGATCTCACGGGACTGGTGCAACCCGTTGCACCGCATTCAGACTCGTCCTTTATCCACGGACTCGCCGAGGGGACGTGACCACCATCCCAGGCTACCGGATTCTTGGGGAAGCTACTTTATTACCGCTTCTCCTGCTTACCTTCTCGTAATCTCTCTTAATTGCTGGAAGAAAGCTTCGCTGGAGGATGATTCCTCGTTGTCACGCTCCGCTGACGTTCGATCAACGAACAACAGAGAAGTCCCCTGGAAATTGTTCATCAAATTTTCGATTTGACCGAGGAAATTGCCGAGGTTTCCTCCCTCTGCCCCCCTCCCCCCTTGGGGGCAGTCGTGAGATGGAAAAGAAATCGCGTGATATTCTTCTTCCAATTTCTTTC